AGTCTCCGCCCCGTCCTTCATGGAGGCTCTCGCCCCTCGCCCGGCTCTCTGCAGCCGTTCGCTTTGCCATCCCCTTCGCTCTCGCATCCCTCCCCAGGATTCCATCCCGGTCCCTCCAGCCATCTGGAGCGTGATCGGAGGCTGGAGAACGGCCCGGGTTTGGAGGACGGTTTTGCGAGATAGCGTGGCCTGTTGTGGGCTAGGCGGCCTGTGGATGGCGCGCTTCTGGCTCCCGTCTGAGCGCTGTGGTTTGAATGGAGGCCTCCAGGCGAGCTCACAGGATATCCGTGGCTTCCGAAGTTTGTTTCGTGCTTACATAAAGTCTCTTTGTTGATGCTCCTGCCAGCGAGGTTCCAACTTGATGGTTTTCCCATGCCTTCTTCCTCCTCCCCCTTTATCAATGTCCAAACTCCATTTAGGATGTAACCCTCCACCCAAGTCGTTCGTTTGGTTCTTCTCCCTGCTTATCAGCTCATGCCTCCCAGTTTTCATTTTTGAGACGTAATTCTGTCTGAACAGGAGGAAGACAGGTGACGTTTATTGAAAACCTACATTCCTTTTCATGTACATTTGTCATTCTGTTATTTTTGGGTGGCAAGCCGAGATGTCTATATGTTATAACGGTAAAGATCAAAAAAATGGTTTTTATTACGTTTTCATACTGGTAGTCGGTGGGTCTGGAGTGGAACCGAGCTGTGGAATCTAGATCTTTCCATAAGCTGTCTCCACTGCGAGGACGAAACTTCCTCTAGGCCATCTCACTCCATCGCAGACGTGCTCCCTTCTATAAATACACCTGATGCTTCCAGCACCCACCCTGAAAACAAACCCGGCTCCCCTGCGTGAGCGGAGCCAGGCCATCTGGGCCAGCTTAGGTTACATGAGCAAGCGAGGCTGGCTGCTTGGGGTTAAGAGCAGAGGCAACCGGTCATTTTACCTTTTTTTTCTTTTTCTTTTTCTTTTCTTTTGGTGCGTGCCTGAACAAGATGGCAAAGCTTTGAAGGCAAGCCAGAAATAGGCATCAGTGGCGTAAGCTTTTCTGGTTTGTTCATAGGAATCTGGACAGCATGTTCACAAATGGTAGACTTGGAAGAAAGGAGTCTAGAACGCAGGGTGATGTAGCACCTTGTAATTGGAGATACATGCCATGTTTCATATTGAAATCCACCAGTCTCACGTGAGGCATGCTGAGCATGTCGCTTTTTAATTCCCATCCCTGTTCAACTGTTTTCTCTTATTAGCATCAACGATTTGCTTGAAACGCCACATAGCCCCCTCCCCCTCCAGTGATTCGGTCATCTGTTTACCTGATTCTCCATCTTACTGTGCCTGCGTACACACAGTACAATGGCCGCTTCTGTGCTTGTTGGCTGTCTGTAAACATCAATGTGCAATACATACATTTTTAAAAACCGGAAGGTTTTTTCAAACCAAGTACCATTGATTTCAATATTCATTCCACCTCCCCACCCTCCCCCCT